AATTCAACGCAAATGTTTATAACTTGGATAGTTTTATAGATACTGAGTAACAATTTGAGCTGATAGTAATGACAATATTTCTAAGGTTCGACCAAAACAACTACAACTCTGTCATTTCTCAACACAAGTTGATCTTAGACTAATGTGGTGAGGGATATGAATTCCTTCAAGGAATGCCAGGGCTTTAATTCTATCCAGCAAAGACAAGAATCGTCTGGTGAGGGGCAGCGGCTGCCTTTTTATCAGTCCAGAATGTCCATCAGATTCAGATGTAATCATAATTACCTTGCTGAGATTCGGCTCAGTTGCGGGGCCCCGCTTGGCTGTGTCGCTGCTATGGAAACTGCTCAACAGCAAGTATGACCAGAGGGAGCTCGCCGGGTTCCAGATAGAGCTGGAACAGAGACACCAGAACAGGGTGAGCCCAAACAAATCCATCTGTCAGTGGCTGTCTGTCAGAGGGCGTGCAATAAATACAGGAATTCCTCCCGGCGACACGTCTGCATGAACAAACTGACACATTAAGAAAACAGGGGATTCTGTACAGGAGCAGCAGAAAACTGAATGAAGGAGCTGCAGGTGTTTTGGTCAAATTAAATAGTCTTATGTGCAGTCCCATGTGACACTCAAAGTGTAAACTGGGATTTCCTCTCAGCCACTATACAACATTTTGACTCAAAATCTGTGAATTTAGATAGATTAGATTAGATAAAACTTTATCGATCCSTTTTGGGAGGGTTCCCTCAGGGAAATTACGTTTCCAGCAGCATCAGTACAATACAGATTAAAATAAGGGAAGCAATGTACCAATTTGACTGAGTCGAAACTATTTTTTTATGTTTGCTAATGTCACTTAGCTGTGGCAGCCATCATGAATGGAGTTAACTACAAGCATTAATCAGTTTTTAATGTACGTCCAGTGATTAGTTTCTGATAGTTTTGAAGAAATTTATAGTTATTATAGATTAGTACTGATATTAGAAAACAACACTAGAGTATTAGGGTTTCCTTTTTATAATACTTGTATAATGTTTGATCTATTTTATGTTAATTGAAATAGAGTACATGTCCGAATCATAACAACACATAAGTGAACCGTTTTAAAACATTAGATTGAGGTCTTTGTATGGATGCCTGTGATTCAGCCGTAGGTCAGTAGGGGGYGAACTTAGGCATTGAAGAATCATGTATAAAAACATGCACTTTCTGACTTTGAGTCCAGTGTGGTTTCGCTTGTCAGTCTGGCGACAATAAACCTCACTCAGATCCAGAATTCTAGTGTTGTATGACTTTATTCCTTTTACAAATCAATTTATTTAACTATTGTGTTTTAATCTGACTTCAGTCGATACTGAACACGTATTTCTTACAGTTTTGGTGACCCCGACGTGATTTGAACACGCAACCTTCTGATTGGAGTTAACTCCAAGCGTTAATCAGTTTTTAATGCAAGTCCAGTGATTAGTTTCTGATAGTTTCATTAAAAAATTCTTTACTGGTTCTTGAGATATTTTGCCAACAMCCACACAGAAACAAGCTAAAACATTATTTCCCTTTGCCTTCCGTGCAATAATGAGCATACTCAATTACAGCAGTGAAGCGTTAAAGCGTACAGTCCATGACGTATTTCTTGAATCGGGAGGTTTTTTTTTTATTGCACTAAATGAGCATCGAAGGATGAAACCTGTTTCCACTCTGCTGCGGAGGGATGACTCCATCAAGGAAAGTTTTATCCTGACAGTCTTCAGCTGAAAACATAAAGAGCAGTGTGAGCAGCAATGAAACGAGGCCCGCGTTTCAATCAGGACCCCTGTGGTGAGGAACAATGGAACAACATCCTTCATCAGAACCGCTGACAGCAGATGGTCCGAAATGTTTGGCAGGAGGGGCAAACGGATGGTGGCGTCTGATTTCCTCTCCTTTGATCTCATCCAAGACCTGCCAGTGTTGAACTCTTCTCTTCACAACATTCACACACACACACAGACACACACACACACACACACACACACACACACACACACACACACACACACACACACACACACAC